TACGAGTAAGACCATGCCCCTAATCAATTACTATCCTTCCTCCCTTTCTCCCTCCTTCCCTCCCTCTCTCCCTTCCCACCCTCTCCCTTCCTTCTCTCCTTTCCTTCTTTCCTTCCTCATTTCTTCCCTGGCTCCCTTCTTTTTTTCCTTTCTTTTTCTGTGACACTGGACCTTGAATTCAGGACCTCAAACAGGCTAGCACTCTACCACTTGTGCCACATTCCCAGTTCACTTTTGTTTTTAGTTTTTCACATAGTGTCTTGCACAAACTTTATCCCAGCTAGCCTCAAACTACAGTCTGTCTCCCCTCCTGAGTAGCTGGGGTCATAGGCGAATACTGCCACGATTAATCTTTCAAGGGCAGATGCCCCCAGCACTTGTATTGAATTACCTGGGATTTTTGTTCACACTGATGCCTGAGCCCAAGCAGGCATAACAACTAAAATTTTTAATGGTGTGATTAGTGAGTTAAATAGGACCTATATACTCCTTAAACAATATTAAAATTTCTGGATAAGGAGACTACAGGTGAATGTAGAGGTAAATTTATTAGTGGACTTAAAGGATTTTGCCTGCAGAATGTTAGGAAAAAGACAAAAGCTGTCCTTCGATGGCCCTCACCATTTCTGTGGTAACAGAAGGTGCATCGCCTGTTTTAGCCCTACTTCTTTACCACCAATCCAACACTGTGTCCATACCCTCATAATCCAGAAGGGTTAACAAGTGCCCAAAGGGAAGATGCAAGAAGGGGCCTTCAGGCAATCGCCTCACACGTTCCAAAGCCAGTGTCTAGAGAGACCCCATTGTCCATATAGTCCATACCATCCATATAGTGCTTCATCATTTTCACTTTTGTTTACTGTCCTCTGAGCACTTATCATAGAGCAAGAGCTCAATAAACACATAGTAAAGGCAGAAGATCCAAGAGGCTACAGATCTTAACTGCTTAAATTACAAAGGATCAAAACTCCCACTGGTTTGACTTGGGATTTTTGTTGTTGTTGTTTTATGATAGTATAAATCAATACATAGTCGGAACCCTATTTTGAGTTTTGATCTTTCCTGGGCTAGCAATATGCAGTAAGATCCTCTTTCTTGGCCATGATGGGAAGCAACACAAAGCTACAGCTTCTGGCCAGCCACACTATCACATTGAGAACTGACTGGTAATCTACATTGTACTGTATTGCTACACTGATGTTCAAGTTCTATGTATTAATGCCTATTTTTGGTCAGTCATGGGGCTTGAACTCTGGGCCTGGGTGCTGTCCCTCAGCTCTTCAGCTCAAGGCTAGTGCTCTACCACTTGAGCCACAGTACCACTTCTAGTTTTCTGGTGGTGAATTGGAAATGAGTCTCACAGACTTTCCTGCCTGGCCTGGCTGCTTCGAACCACAATCCTCAGATCTCAGCCTCCTGAGTAGCTAGGATTATAGGCATGCGCCACTGGCACCCAGCATTAATGCATTTTTGAGTTGCAAAATTGTCAGTTCAACAGTGGGTTCATTGGGACATGATCCAATTGTAAGTCGAGTATCATCTGTATATGGTTATGAAGAGCAGCAGGACATCTAGGGATTCCTCTGGCCTTTCCCTCCCTTTCTTGGCAGATGGGAATCAGGGAAGAAAGCATCAGAGGCATTTACCTCATGCTCCAGTCCCCTTCCCTCAGGGTGGTACGCATTTCTCCCCTGCAGGGCCTGTAGATATCCTTCCAAATGTCTGAGTCCTAGAGAGCCTCAGCACCCTTAGTTTGATGTAAGCCTTCCGAGAACATGGAGAAGCTATCTCAGGAACTGATCAAGGGAACTTGGGGGAAGCAGCTGGTCTGACCATGGAAGGCCAACAGCAGCTCCCGGGAGGGAGGCCAGGACCCGAGAGCCGGCTGGAGCCCTTTGAAGGCCCTGCTGCTGGGAAGGAGGGGTGACGTGCATGGCAGTCCAATTTTTCTGAAAGCATTTTCACAAAATGTTCTGCATCATAGGTTAATGTATAAGACAGGAGTGGTAAGTGGAAAGTTGGCAGAGTCCTCTGGAAACTGGCTAAAGGGCAGGAAACAAAGGGTAGCAATAAAAACCTAAAAGGATGTTAATTGAAGAGTGCCTCAGGGAATGGGGTTGCTACTAGCTTTTTATTATTTACATAAAAATTACGTGGAAAATGGTATTGAAAGGGATTTTCATGTTAGCTAATGAAACTGCATTAGTGAGCTGTGAGTGGAAATGTGAAGAGAATTAAGGAAGGATTCCATTTATCAATGGGATTGAAGAGTAGCGTTTTCCAACAGGTTTGTATGAGTCCATATGGTTCTGTGGGCCAGATTTCCATTTGAGTCCTGGGCAGGACAATGCCAGCCTGAGGCACTCAACCTCTCCTATTTCTTGGGTCAGCAGAAAACATTTCAGAGATTTTGAATCTCTACTCACAGGATAGGTCCTAAAATTAACTGGATGTTTTCATCAGACCTGGAAACTCCTCTTTTGGAAAGGCCTTACTCCATCACTTAAGCTACACCTCCAGTCCTTTAGGTTTTTTTTCAATTAGGATGTCTCATTTTTTGCTTCCAGCCAGCCTCAAGCCTCCATGCCTCCTGTCTCTACCTCCCACTCAGCTAGAATTACAAGTACTACAGGCTGGTACCACCACACTTGCCTAGCCCCAGAATTCTTTTAGAAGGCCCCCAAAATGAGCAGAATCTTCTATTTTGCTTCAAATGTAAGATTAGGCTACCTGACATCCATCTTCCCAACTCCTTTTTCTGAATATTCACTGAAGGTCTAGGTATCACAGAAATTTCTAATAACTACACCTCAATAAGAAGCTGGCAGTCGGGGGCTGGGAAGGTGGCTCAGTGGTAGAGTACTTACCTTGCATGCCTGAGGCCCTGGGTTCGATTCCTTAGCACCACATAAGCAAAAAAGAAAAAAAAGCCGGAAGTGGCGCTGTGGCTCAAGTGGTAGAGCGCTAGCCTTAAGCTGAAGAGCTGAGGAACAGCGTCCAGGCCCAGAGTTCAGGGCCCACGACCGGACCCCCCCCCCAAAAAAAAGAAGCTGGCAGTGTTTTCTTAAACAGTTATTAAACAACTGGAAATAATAACACAACGCGCCAGGACTTGAAAGTTGGAATGCCAGGAGTGACTTTCGCTGTCTTTTCCATAGCCCTAGGGAACGGTCTATGTGGTTTCAAGAGTCCACAAGGCCCTCCATTTCCTTCTTTTGCACACTTGGCCCAGTAGAAACCTTTATAGCTTTCTAGAGTCAATCCATTGACCTGCAGCATTGACATCAAACCCCACCTCAGAACTGATTGAAATCCACATGGTAATAGGATTCCCAGTTGGAGATGTGCATAATGTGCACACTTGAGAAAGCACTGCTCCCATACCCAGCTGCCATCAGAAATAAGGCAAAGAGGCTTTGGTTGCTTCCCATCAAGAGAAAATCAGACATTGTTTAGTATCTTCTGAATAGAATTCTGGCATTGGGAACTTGCCTGTCTGCTAGAAAGTCCCTCTTCCTTTGTCTCCATACCAGCTGTTTGGCTCGTGAGACTCAGCCTTCTCTAGAATGTAAGCATAGCCTTAATTGAGAAGATGTTAAAAAGCAGTGCTATACATCTCTGAGTGCTCTTCCTCTGGGTGTGGTTCATGTACTGGGCCATTAGCTAATTGTTACCACAGGCACTTGGTGGCTATTTTTCTTTTGAGCTCATTTACCAAGAATCTGGAGACTAGGCATTTGCTGTTTTCTGCCTCTTGCCTCTGGGTTCTATAAACTGTTAATCCTTAGGTCCAGCCCCACATAAGGTGTCATGGCCTGGGAAAACCTATATAAAATATAGGAAGCTTGTCTTCCAAATAACTGGGTTTGAACAGTCAATAGCCCTCTTAGAATTTGAGTGTCTCTTAATCTGAGATGACCAAAGGCCAACTGTGTGATAGGACATCGAAGCAGCACCTTATGTTGCTTTTTTTTTTTTTTTACTCTTTTTCTTTTTTTCCTAGTGGTGCAATGGTTTGAACTCCAGGCCTGCTGGCTAAGCATGTGCTCTAAGTAGCTCCAATCCTATTTTCTGCTAGTAAGTTTCATGCCTGGACTTGCCTTGGTCTTGTTAGGCTTTCCCATCATTAGGATAACAGTCATGTGCCACCGAGAAAGTATCTTGTGAACTTCTCTATCCAGGCCAGCTTCCAACCATAAGCCCAATGATTTCAGCTTCACAAGCTATGAGCCACAAGCGCCCAATTGTGAGATTGACTTTTAGTCTTAGTTTGTTAGAGATAGTCAATTCTTTTTTGCAAAGGGCTGGGTGGACACTGAAATATCCAAGTCATTCAAGGTTCTAGAGGTGAGGAGAGACTTAGAAGTTTGTCCAGACAAAAACACACTTTGGAGATTAAGACTGAGCATGTGTTCTTTGAAACTTCTGTTGAGGGTCAGACCCCCTCCTTATGTGGGAAGAGTTTGGTCCCTTGAATCTCAGAGCAAGAATGAGTGCATTAAGTAAAGTGTGTCTCCTCCATCCTAGACAACTACTTGTGGAGCTGTTACTAAAGTCCAGCTTTGTTTCTCCCACAGACGGAGAGATCATCTGCAGCAAGGAGGTTTACAGTTCATCTTTGTATGCATAGCAGTTGGCATAGGGTAGGACCTTAGTGGCTGTTGAAGGATCCCTTAGCTAGCACAAGATCCACTAGTAAGACATCATTTGATCTATATTTCAAGCATTAAAATTTCAGCTAAATTCTTTCTTATCAGTGATTAAGCCCTCTTGTTAGACTCATTTATAATTGTGATTGCTCCCATGTGTCTATATAGCAAGTCTTCAAAGCAGGCTGTTCTTAGTCATGAAGCTTGCAGTATAATCAGGTACCTTACAGTAGTACATCCTTGACGACCTCTAGGCTGGACAGAATAAATGGAAATTAGAGGAATTAGAAGTCAACTTATAGGGGGCAAAACTTGATGTTTCTGAAGTAGCAATGTTTTTGTTCTTTTCAGGTGAGAGTCTATGATCTCACCAAATATGATCATGGAGCAGATGATGTACTGATACTGGCCACTGATGGACTCTGGGATGTTTTATCAAATGAAGAAGTAGCAGAAGCAATCACTCAGTTTCTTCCTAACTGTGATCCAGATGACCCTCACAGGTATGTGCATTTCTGTGACTGTAGGGTTATTTTTTAAGTACTCTTGCATGATAAATGAAATAAATAATCCCGTGTAATTTCCTCATTTATGTTTTATAAGAGTCCAGTATAGATTATTCAATAACCAAACTGCAAAAAACACTACATACTTTATTAGAAGTATTTTCTTGATCAAATATAAATCCTCCTTAAGCCATGACTTATACCTGTAATCCTAGCTACTTGGCAGGCTAAGGAAAAAAATGTTAATAGATCAAGACAAGCCCAGGCAGAAAAGTTTACAAGACCCCTTCTCAATCCATAACTGGGCACAGTGACACATGTCTGTTATTCCAAGTTAGATGAAAAGTCAGAGATTGGAAGCTTCATGGTTCCAGGATAGAAAAGTCCACAATAAGCCGGGCACCAGTGGCTCATGCCTGTAATTCTAGCTACTCAGGAGGCTGGGATCTGAGGTTTGCGGTTCAAAGCCAGCCTGGACAAGAAAGTCTGTAAGACTCTTACCTCCAATAAACCACTCAGAAAAACAGAAGTAGCACTGTGGCTCAAGTGGTAGAGCACTGGCCTTGAGCTGAAGAGCTGAGGGACAGCGCCCAAGCCCAGAGTTCAAGCCCCACAACCACCAAAAAGAAAGAAACAAACTAACTAACTAACTAACTAATGGGTCTGGTGATGCTAACCTGTCATCCTAGCAATGAGAAGCCTAAAGCAGGTGGATAGCAGTTCAGGTGTATGCCCAGACAAGTAGCAAGACCCTATCTAAAACATAACCAGTACAAAAAAGAGCTGGAGGGTTGGCTGAGCAGTTGAGCTCTGGCCTACCAAGCAAGTTCTAAGTTAAAACTCTAGTGGCACAAATATATATGTGTATATATATATGTATATATGTGTGTGTATATATATATATATATATATATAAATCTTCCTTAAGTTGAACCAAGATATAAATTTACCATTCATTTACCATTGTATCTTTCTCACATTTTTATTTTATATCATCCAAAATAATGTAAACATAATCCCAATTTGATTCTGCTGATAGGAGTAATGAAAAATTCTTCCTAGCACTGAGTCTTAGTCACTGGAGGATTGTTTCTTTTAAGAAATACTGAATAGAAAGAGAAAGTAAAGTAGGCCTTCCTAATATGATGGTAATATGATCTTAACCAATGCTAGAAGACTGTCATAAATAAACAGAAATATGAAATGTTTTAAGGAACGAGAATGGGATAGGAGAGAATGATGGGAGGGGTGAATTTGATCAGGATATATTCTTTACCTGTGTGGAAAAGTCACAATGAAACACTAATACATATGAATTTTAAAAATTATTTTAAAGAATAAATAGACCAGAGTCAAGCCCCATGACCAGCCAAAAATAAATAAATAAATAAATAAAATAATAAATAGAAATTATCTCTACAGAAAGGTAGCTCTGAGAAGAAATAAGGCAGCAGAAATAATAGAGACAGTAGAGCTAGACCAACAAATACTTCCTTCTTGTGTTCATTGGTCAAAAATATAAAATATTCTAACATTCTTTGTAATTGTTCTTTTTGGAGGGTTTGAACTCAGGGAATCACACTTGCTAGGCCAGTAATCTGCTTTAGAAATTATTAAGACTATTAAAGAATAAGCAAGGACAAGAAGCTATAAAAATGACTGCAGATTTTTTTAAAATAAGGAAATGTAATGTTTAGAGAGTAAAAATATAGCACAGTGGCATGTGATTATTTAGTATTAATACTAAGAGATTAAAGCAGGAAAATCAAGAGTTTGAAGCCAACCTAGCCTACCTAGTGAAACCTTGTCTAAAAAAGTGGGAGGGAAAATACCTTAAGTGTATTTAATGGGAATTAAACATTCAGTGATTGAGCAGATTGAAGAAAACATTGGTGAACTAGAAAATTGGTTTGAATACAATGGTCGATAGGAAATATACTTATTACCTTACTCATATAACTGTAACCCCTCTGTACAGTATTTTTACAATAAAAAATCTTTTAAAAAGAATATTGGTTTGAATAAATAAGCTAGAATATGACTCTGAAAGGGTGAAGGGAATGTGAAGTGGCATTAAGAGATAAGGGTGACCTAAGATGTTCTACATGGAATTGCAGGAAATACTATAGAAGATGGGAAGAAAATCTTCCATAATTCCTAAGATGCTAAACCTATGATCCAGAAAGCCCAACAAATCTCAGGCAGAAGAAATAAAAAGAAAATTATAAATAGGTACATCTTAATGAAACTGTATACTTTTAAAGCCTCTCCCTCTCTGAAATATTAAAAACAGCCAGCAAGAAAAGATAATCCCAATGGTATTAACATTTAAACTGAAAGCTAGCTTTTCAAAACCAACAACAGAAGCCAAAGCAACATAAAATGATGATATCTCTTCAGTTGGCTAAGAATAAAGCTGTCAATCTAGAACTTTTTCACATGGAGTAAAACTATCAAAAAAGAAGTAGGGTAAAGAAGTTTTCAGGCTTAACAAAAACATTTTACTGCCAACCAATCTCTAAAGGAAATTCTAAGGGATATACTCACATAAGGAAATGATCCTAAATGTAAATGCTGAGAAGTAAAATGGATTATAAACTCAAGCCTGAGTAAATAGGTGGTATACTTAATCATACATTGGCTATATAAAATAGTAATAGGAATGTCTACTATATGGGATGAAAAATGATAGAGCTAAATTACTGGATAAAAGTAGCATGTAATTAATAAAGGGTTAGTTATCAGCTTCCATGTGAGAGCTGGTTAAAGGAATTTATCTTTTAAATTGCTAAAGAAACTACTAAAATAATAGAAAGAATAATTTCCCAAGTAGTAGCTTCTGGACACCTTATAAACCAAGAGCGGCAATTATAGTGGAAATTGGATACTAGTTGTTAAAATTTTAAAGGCAGAATTTGAGTCTTCTTTTTTGAAGTAAGCCCAGATCAAGACTCACTCACCTCTGACCCCCCTTCCTATGTCTCGAGGTAACATTATCTAAAACTTCCCCTGAGTCATGAGAATCTACAGTCAGAAGCTCCTGATTCCTGACCACAGAAAAAGAAAACAAGAATGAGAAACCGATAAGAACAGAAATATGTGTTTTGGAATAAGCTCTTGAAGGCTTACTGTTGAGTTCTGTCTTTATTCTCCACATAAACATTTATAAAAGAATTCTTTTTAAGGAACTGGCACTGTGGCTCAAATGATTGAGCTGAAGAGCCGAGGGACAAGCCTAGAGTTCAAGCCCCATGACCGACCAAAAAATAAAATAAAAATTCAAAACAGGCCAAGGTATGTGGCTCAAATGGTAGAGTGCCTGTGTACGTAGCAGACATAGAACACTGATTTCAAATACCCTAGTACAGAAAAAAATCAAAACAAAAACAAAAAATTTGGGACTGGGAAGGTGACTTGCATGCATGAGGCTCTGGGTTCGATTTCTCAGCAGCACATAAGCAAAAAGGAAAAAAAAAAAAGCTAGAAGTGGCGCTGTGGCCCAAGTGGTAGAGCACTAGCCTTGAGCTGAAGAGCTGAGGGACAGCGCCCAAGCCCACAGTTCAGGCCCCACGACCGACAAAAAAAAATAATTCTTTTTAAATATAATTTACAAAAGAATTATTACAACTTCAAGGCTCTAAGGAGCCAAAGTATGTTTAACTATAGGCCATGTGTTTTTTTTCCTGGTTTCAGACTACAACTAAATAACTATCTTAATTTAAAATTCTAAGTCTGTAGTCTAGCTTAGTTACAACATCTAATAAAAGAAATAAAAAAAGCAGAATGAACTCAGGGAAAGACATGAGTCATGAGAGGAAAAAGGAAAGACAAAATGGAAAAGAAAACATACAAAAGGTGGATTATAAACCCAAAACAATATATTTTTTTTTGCAAACCATATGAGACCCCACTTCACAGTATGTAAATGGATTAAGGCACTCACAACAGGACAGACAGTCTGATTCCATTTCTCTGAGGGCCTTGAGTAGTCAAATTCTTAAGAGGCAGAAAGCAGAAATGGTTGCAAATGGTTGGAAAGAGAAAAAAAGTAGAGTTAGTGTTTGAGTTTCAGTTGGAAAAGTGAAAAGCTACAGCCAAGGGATCATGGCAATGATTGCAAAACAACATGAGCGTATTTAAATAACGCTGTAATATGTACTTTATTAATTTTAAAATAGTATGGTAAATTTTATGCTATGTTTGTTTTACCACACTACAAAAAAAACTATTAAAAGGGAATAAAAAGTGTAACAAAATAGATGGTTCTGAAAGATTAATAAAAATGGGGGACAATATATATATTAATATTAGAAAAATAGTACTTATGCATGCAGCAGAAGTTAAAATAATAGAAGCTATTATTTTCATATATATTCTTTAATAAGTATCAATTTATCATAAAGCTGTGGAATAAGTGCAATTATAGCCAACATACCAATGGAGTTTTCATGAACTTAAGCTGATTCTCAGATATGTGTGGGAGAACAGAATGCCAAGAATAATGTGTGTAGGACTGTGTAGATTTTGCCCTGTTAGATATTAAGATAAAGTCAGAGTAATTTAGATAGTAGAAAAATTAAAAATAGATCACTGCATCCTAAAAAAATCAAGTTTAGATAAAGTAAGACTTAAATGTGAAAATGAAATATAATTTTTAGAAAATAGTACTTAAGTCTGATACCAGTGGCTCACACCTGTAATCCTAGCTACCTAGTAGACTTAGATCTGAGAATTAAGGTTTAAAGCCGGCCTGGGAAGACAAATCCATGAGGCTCTAATCTTCAAAGAGTCAAAACATGGCTTCTGTGGTAGAATCCCAGCTATGAGCAGAAAAGTAAACCCAAGCTCTAGCATTGGTATAAAAATAAAGGGAAAGGAAGGAAGGAAGGAAGGAAGGAAGGAAGGAAGGAAGGGAGGAAGGAAGGATAAAGCAAGCATATGAGATTATTTTACAACCTTGGAATAGGGAAGAATTTCTTACAGAAGATAGAAAAAAG